ACTGGTTGCCCCTTGGAGCAGTATCTGGGAGTTGATCTCAGGGATTCCGGGCTTCTGTAGGTCTGAGGTTGGGGCTCTGTGCCCCAGTACCCAATCAGTAATCTGTGGCCGGTGGGTACTGCTTTCCTGGTAACAGCAGGTTATCTGGCACACAGCAGGTCCCTGGGTTGGGCAGGTCTGTAGGCCCTTTTCCAGGGATATACTGAGTGGCCTAAGTCTGTCCCCTTTGCTTCGTTCCCTGTGAGGATTTCTCCGGACAATGACTCCCAGTTTCTGGTGCCCTAGGGTGCACAGCTCTGTCTGTGTCGAAGAGCTTGCGCACAGCAACTCTCTGTGCCTGTGGCTGGAGCCCAGTTCAGTGATGGCTGCTTGTACCTGCCAGTCTGTGAGACTTTCTCTAGGGAAAGACTGGAAGACTCAAGTCAGTACCATTTCCTTCCTTTCCTGTGGGGTTTTCTCTCGACTGGGACTCCCAGTCTCTGGTGTTTTTTGTGCCCACCAATCAGCCTGGGAAGGTGATCAGGACACACAGGTGTGTGGCTCTAGTGCCTGCGGGACCTGGGATCTCTTCTGGGATATGGGTGGGTGACCTTAGAGTGGACCCGACTGATTACCATGCCTGGGGGTTTCCTCTCACATGGGAAACACGATTGCCGTTGTTTTATGGCCCAGAGTTCAGTCTCTTGATCGCTGTATGGAAAATGTCCTGCTCCTTGGATGCAGTGTTCTCCTGGCGCTGCCATCTTGTCCTGCCCCTGGCATGATACTAATTTTAAAGCCTTCTAAATTCTCAAGCCATGTAGCTTTAGCCAGCCACAAGATCAGGCAAGACTTTGTTTCCTTATTTATGAAATGATGGTGATGATGATGATGATACCACCCCAGAGGGTTGTGAAAATAAAATGAGATAATCCAGAAAATTGCATTTGGTTCAATATGGACCTAGGAGAAGCTTTCCTAAGGCAGTACAAAAAAGATGATATTTCCCTAGACACTACTCACCATCTCCTTTTAAAGGAATTCTTAATATTTCATCTACCATCGTCCTGAATGCCCTTTAAGTAAAACTCTGCATAGGCAATTTAAATTAGAACGTAGGCTGGACTGTGAATATTCCTGCTTGTGTCTGGAGCAATGGTCTATCATTACACAACAGATCATTGCTTCTCACAATTTCTGTTTTGCCTGGGACAGGAAGACCCTGAGAGGTGAAAGGAAGACGGGGTTAGATAAATATCTCTCCTTCCATCTACATTGCCTTAATTCTTTCAATTTTCTTGTTATAGTTGTACTATTTTATGCTCATTTTACTCTGCAAAAACATGGATAATAATCAAGCAATGGGAAATTCTTACACCATCATGGCATTACTGCTCTCCTTTCCCCCTTTCTGAGAGTGGTATTGGGATTCCCAGAGTCAACAGCATCATATATTTAGTTCTGTCACCTTCACCTTATTCCTGTGATAGTTCACCGAGAAAAGCAAACAAAAGGATGTTTAAATTTAAAGTTTCTTGATTCAGTGCCAAAAAGCAGTACTCTGTTGCTTGATCAAAGCAAACAAAACATGACCTCATCTCTGTTTCCGAGCAGTCAAGCTTTCAGGACTAACAAGTTTACAATGATACTAAGCAAGGACACTTCTGAACCCCAGGCTGTGCAATGTGAATGAGGTAAGAATTAGCTTATTATAAGTTAATTCATTATCTTATAATCATTATCTTATTTACAAGTGCAATACTCCGAATAACACTTTTATCAAAACAGCAATGATTTTATTAATGTTAAGTAATATATTTCCTTTACTTCCTTGTAATACATTTTAATCAATGCAGAACAAAAGAAATCCCACATTCTCTGTAAATACAGACTGGACAGAATCTCCACAGTGCTTCCACAAGTCTCGAATGCAGCTGCGGACTTCCTTCTGTTTAATCTTCTTGACAGATCAAATTCGGAAGCTGTCCCAGGTTCTAGCATGCTGAGTTCCAGAAGATGGTTCTGCACAGTGCCGCTGGGGATAAGCCAAATGCTTACACACTCCCACAAATGGACTCCATTCATCATGAGCTTTCTTGGCAGAATCATAGACTCGCTTAAAGATACTCTAATTGGCAACTACCGACAACCTCAAGATGGTCTGCATCTGTACATGTTCAAAAGAAACTTGGTGGTAAACATTCTGAAAGGGGGTCCTAGTCATTGTGGAGTTCTGTGTAACCCCAAACATCTTCCTTCTCCAGAACTGGGGCCAGTGTGCTGCTTTGCGATCACAAGAACAGTGTGTAGTAGACTAGGGAATGGAGATGTTTGTGCTGAAAAGAAGGACAGATTGGCAGCCATGATTTCCAGATTGTTGGGGTTCAATGTTAACAGTCCATGGAGATTCTAAAGAGGTGAGGGTGTTAGTTTCCTCCTACATAAACTTGCACCGTCTTACAATGAAAGAGAATCCCAAAGTAACTTGTGTTAATGTACAAACATTCTGAGCCAGAAAAGCAAAAAAGACTCAAAAGCTTAACTTATAAATCCAGCAAAGCCCTAATTTCTGTGCTTAAGTCATTCTGAAAAGTAATTTGTGTAATAGGTTTTCATAAACCAGCTGTACTATTCTTCAGTAGGATGCGTCTAGCTCCTTATTTGCATCAATCAACAGATTCTTACATGCCAGGACACAGGACCAAAGACTCCAGTTAGGCATCAGTCCAAGAGCCAGAAACACACTGGCTTCTCCTGCTCGAAGTCCCTTTATATAAAATGTTTTTGAACCAGTTTACCCCTCTTCCACATCACTCATTTCACCATTTGTAACTTGCCTCATTTAATAAGCTGTCTTAATGAATTTAAAAGATTTTTCTTTGGAGTGCAGAGTTTTAATTAGGATATTTCAAATGAGTGCTAGCTAATCCTAGTGTGTGGCTATGTGAGTGGGGATCCTAGAAGGCGAACAGCTCCCAACACCAGCCAGATCCATGGATATTACGTCATATGTACTTAAGTAATTTGGAAAAAAATATAAAACTACACAGATTCTCTTCAGCTCTTTAACAACTTTATACAAGTGATCAACTCTAAAATCTGATGTAGTGGGTTAAGGCAGGCAGATAAAGACAAGGTCCATTTTCCAAATTTTACATGAAAAATGTGAAAGTCAGAAAACAATGCTCACTAGGAAGTTAGTAAGGGAAGATTTGCTTCATGAACTGTAGGTCGAGTGTAGGTCACTAGAAAAAAAGGAAACAAAACTAAACAATAAAACAGCCAACAATGCCCTGGCTTTCACATAATGAACGGTAGAAACAAAGTAGTTCAAAGGGCAACAAAAAAGCTGTGATTTACCATTGTCTCCAAACAGGAGAGAAAAGAGTTGGTGTTGTGGGTGAAGTCCAAAGGCAAAATTCTTTGTTTCTTAGAAGATCTTCAATTTATCCACAAGGCTCCAGCATAGTATGAAGTACATTCCACTTTAGCCCCCTGATTGAAATGTTAATATCATCTGGGAAAAAATTGCCTTTCCAGAAACACGTAGAATAACATTGCTCAACACTGGCGATCATTAGCCTACTGACCTGCCTCTTAAAGTTAGCTGTCAAAAAGCCCTCCAAATGGCTACAAAACCTGGACTTTCCAGCAACAGAAATGCACTTTTCTTAAAAGCATGCAGAAATAGGACTGGAGTTTGCACCTACAGTGGGCTCAGCTCCTCCTGGCATTTAGAGCATTTTACATAGGTAGCATCATAATTTCCACACTTAAACCACTAAATTACAAAAGCTTTTTGGCTTCTGAGCCAGGACTGCAGTTTGGACAGGGTGTTGGGGGCGGGGTACAATTTTTCTGGTGTATGAAATACAGTGGGCCATGAATCTGGGCCACAAGCTTTGCAGTGTGGACAGTTCTCAAGACCTTATGCATAGAAGGGCTCAGTTCCATAGTCAAGTTGCTGGCGTCTAGACCAGCCCTCAAGTCTTTAAGACCTAGTCCCTGCATACCACTCTGAGGCCAAGCCTTCATTCATAGCAATAGCTGATGGTAAGTTTCTGTTTGTTTTGGTTTTGTTTTTTAACATTCCCCCATAAACAAGCAACTCTGTGGAGTGTGTGAAGGATGGACGACTAGGATCCACATGTTCATCTAGTTGAACTCATTGTGTTTTTTACATAGTCAAGCTATCACATTATCCCTCTACTAATTTTTCAAGTCTCTATTCCTACATGCTTTAGTAGGCATTCACATAAGCCAAAACTTTATTCCCTGTTCAGTTAAATAAGGGTGAGAAGAACAGCATGAACATTTTGTCTGTTTGGATAAGAGATAATTACTGCAGTATACTTTAGCAAAGGGAGATTTGTGAGGGATCCCCCAATCTGACGTGTTGATATGGTGGGTAGTCTCCCTTATATGCTGATCCACACAGTGTAACAACCCTGGACTCAGCAGTATGGTGGAAATGGGGAGGAGTCTAAAGATTAGTACATGTAAAAAATAAATTGAAGCCAGGTGTGGCGGCGCACACCTGTAATCCCAGCACCGGGGAGGCAGAGGCAGGTGAATCTCTGTGAGTTTGAGGCCAACCTGGTCTCCAAAGAAAGTCCAGGACAGCCAAGACGACACAGAGAAACAGTCTTGAAACACCAACCAATCAACCAACCAACCAACCAACCAAACAAACAAACACATCCAAAAAATGAAAACAAAAAACCAACCAACCAACTGAAAACAACAACAAAAAACCATCACCTGAAAAATGAAGGTAAGAAGTCCATTTGTAAGCTGAGTATGGTGGGTCATATCTATAATCTCAGGAGTCCACAGGCTGAGGCAAGAAGATTGCTCTTTAAGAGCACCCTGGACTAGTCAGTGAAAGTATCACACTAGGCAGGGCTACCCCAGGCTCAATCCTGCCCCTCATCCCTTGTGGTCAATCTATGATTGTTCATATACACACTAAGCTTCCTCCTACAATCCACAACTAAACAAAAGAAAGTTAGTTTACCTACCTATGAAGATGTTAGCACGCGGAGCAATATTTCTGGTCCTTCTCATGAGCACATCTTTCTTGCATAGGGGATAGCTATGTAAACACCACTGGCCACTAGGTTGGGAGGAAAAAAAAATAAAACAATATATGTCACTTCCTGTCTAAGGAAAATTTTAGGGCAAAGACCTCCTACAAGGCTTCGTGCATTGCTACAATCTGAAAAATAAATACAACGGACACAGGCTTCTGAAACTGTTCAGTACATGAGCAACTCCAATGACACAAAGAGCTTCCCTTTGACTTACAATGGACAGGTATTATGAGTAAGACTAAACATCTGTTAGACACTGGGACAATTTAGAACATGTGCGTGTCTTAGCTACTCCACCGTCCGGAAGAAGCACCTGTTAATGCAGTGCAGTAGCAAACACTCAGTTAAAGACACAGAAATTGAAGCCAAGACCTAGATGCCACTACCCACCTGACTGACCTCACTAAAACAAATAGTGAGGGGTCAGACCCAAACCCACAGAGCTCTCAAGGGCCACATTTCCTGTTCTCCCAGTCAGTCTGCCCACTCTCAGAAGCCTAGGCCCTAGGGGCATCAGGAGGAGATGAACACTAGTTCACATGCCTAGGCTGTCCCAGGCCTTCTCCCCAGCGCCCCTTTAAGTATTGCACCTGGGGGTGGCAACTGGTAGTGGCACTGAATTCACCTGTCACATGACCCACTTGGCAGGTAGCCCTCCCCTTACACAACACAAAGAGATCACTTTCCAAGATCAGTTCTTATCTAGAGCTACAGAAAGAATAAGCAAAGTTGGTCTTCAGATTTAGTGAAAATTCTGAAAAGCATACCAGACTTTATATCGACTCACCTTAATATATACAGCTTGATACTATTATTCTTGTATTATTTGAAATGATGAAAGTTGTCATTGCTCAATATAGTCATAGAAGTGAATTTACAGAGAGACCCTATGATAAAATTAAGCATACATTTTGAATTGATGATGGCACTACTGTCTCATCCTCAGAGATAATTAAAAACCAAATATAGAGGATTTAAATTCCAAGTAGTTTTAGTGACTGCAAAAGCCAGTATGTACATATACTGCACATAAAAGGCTAAATTTTAATATATATGTATGTATGTGCATAGATACATATTTGTAAAAATAAGTGGTATTAAAAGCATACACATAAAAATTTTCTTTTAAAAATGTATTATTGCCAGGCATGGTGGCACACACTTTTAACCCCGGCACTTGGGAAATGGAGGCAGTAGAGCGCTGTGAGTTTCAGGCCAGGCTGGCTTACATGTCAAGTTCCAGGCCAGACAGAGCTACATAGTGAGATTCTGTTTCAAAAACAAACAAACAAGTTAATTAATTAATTAATTAAAATGTGTTATTATTACAATTTTGTGTGATGAACTGTGTGTGCTGGCATGCATGTGGAGGTCGGGGGACAACTTTGTGGAGTCAGTTCTCTCCTCTTGCCTTTATGTGGGCTCTGGATGCTGACTCAGGCTGCCAGACTTGCACAGAAAGGGCTATTGCTACGAGCCATCTTGCAGGCTCAGACATTTTCAGTGAAGTAAAATTAATCAGAAAGTTTCATATCTCTTATTTAGAACAGAACAGAATCCAATATAATCACTGCCATTATCTACACATATGTGTTGTTAAAGTACTATAAGATATTTTTAAGTTCTTATAAATGTAGTTCACAAAGAATAAAAACTTAGGTTCAAACTTATAAAATTCTAGGAATAGCCCAAAATAATGACTTTTCCCCTAGTGGACAATTTAACAGAGAATTAGGCATTCTACTAATTGGTCATTTTTTTTTTTTTTAGTGTTTTACAAACAATAACATTTTCATGAGAAATTAATAATGTTCTCTTTCAGCTCAGTGTTTTTTTTTTTAATTTTAAATAAGAGACATATGCTTTGCAAGCTGACAACTGGTAGCCAATATGGAGTAAATTTGTGGCCTTGGTACAGTTTCCAATGAACATGTATCTGCATTCAAAAAAAAAAAAAAAAGACTAATTATCCCAAATGATACCTCGTCTGGTGGGGGCAATTTTCTATGAAGAATAGCTAATTGGTCACTTTCCAAAGTGAGTGCTTTCTAACAAACACATTAGGGTGAGTGATAAAGTGGTTTCTGCTCTAGCATTTGTCTAGTAGTTGGCTCTAGCTGCTTCTTCCATTATAAGTGCCAAGAAGTGGTTCTAACAGCCCACAAAGGGAAGCTATTCTGAACTTCCCGGAACTGGAGAGGAAAGGGAAGGTCAGACAGGGAAAGTGGGTACCAGCCACACCACACCAAGGTTCTCAGGAATGACTGACAAGTTCACACTTGACAAACAAAATTTCCAAGGGTATTCACATCTTTTATGGGGAACTAAGAATCTCAAACTCTGAGTTCTTAACCTTGGGAATGACACCTTAAATCCAACATTAGACTGGAAACCAGATGCAACAGCCCATTCAAAGAGATGATCTGAATAAACATGTACTTTAAGCAAAAAGATACTTACCATGAGGAAGTCATAGAACCTCTAGAAAGTATATGTTGACCACCAGCAGTTGAAGAAACACCAAACCATGAATGAGGCTGAACTGGCAGCTACTGTATCTGAGCTATAATTTGGGTTAATTCCCTCCTGATTTACTGTGTTACATGTTTGATCCCCAGGGTAGAAGCATGGAAAGGGTGTACAACCTTTAAGGAGTAGGGTCTAATAAGAGTCTCTGATCACCTGAGGATGCTGTATTTGGAGAGGATTGTGGTATCCTGTCCGGTGACATGATCTTTCCCTCTGGCATCTCCTGCCTGTGATGCCATCTGCCTTAAGGCCTTCACCAAAACCACACTGAGATTAGTGGCACACCCAAGAACCTTCAGAACTGTGACCCTATCAAATGTCCTATTAAAGTACTCAGTCCCATGTATTTAATTATAGCAAAGGAAAAAAAAATGAGCTGCTGAATGAGCCAAACAGGAAGGCAAGGATCACAGGTTAACTTAAGGATGAGGAAGAAAGCACTGTGATACATGGTAGCGGTAGGTAAGCTAAAGTTGATTCTGATCCTCAGACAAACAGAGCTGAAGACAGACCCCTTCATTCCTGTGATGGTCTTTTGATGCGTTCAGGCTATTGCTCACAATTGTTCCCAGGCTATCCCAAACTCATACACAATGTGAAATGCCATCAAGAAGGTACTTTGTAGATATGATTAAAGTCCACATTAGTAGATTTTAGGGGAAAATATTTTTAGCAATTGTTGGTCCTGATTCAATCAATTGATTAGTCTGAAGACCAGTTTCCTGGAGATAAAAAAGCCTATCTGTGATTGCAACTGCATCTCTGCCTTGGTGTTCCAGTTGGCTTCCCAGTTTTACGGTGGTTCCTGCACAGCCCATTTGTATGAGTCAATTACTTGCAAAAATCTCCTGGTATGTACATGCTACTGCTTGACTCAACTTTGAAGCCAGCACGTCAAGTCTTCATCCTGCAGCAAGGTAGATGGAGTTTTTATGGAAATAGCTTTCAAAGTGCTGACTCTCACCTACACAATTTGTGAATCGATTTAATGGGTCATGAATGGCATGAGAAAAGTTGAAAAGTACAAAATAGAAAACATTAGTACTTATTTGTCTAGAAAAATATTGTACTTTAAAAATTAGTTTTAATTTTTTTCACTTTCAATTGAACATATATATATATATATTTATATCATGTTTCAATGTAAAACAGGTGTGACTTGAAAATTAAAAGTATAAAAGACTTTTAAAAAATTAAGTATAAGCATCTCAAAATACTGAAATTTCAAGTGGTAACTACTGATAGAGAAATAATTAACCTCCATTCTCTCTCATTCTCATCCTCACCACATACTCTGATTCATATCAAATTCTTGCTGAGCACCAGCTCCCTAGTTGACACTGTGCTCAGTACTAAGAATTCGAATGCAGGTGTTCTAGATGCAGCCCATGGCAGCTCAGTCTCCAAGTGGGTTCCCTAGTAAGGGGAACAGGAACGGTCTCTGACATGAACTCAGTGGCTGGCTCTTTGATCACCTCCCCCTGAGGTGGGGGCAGCCTTACCAGGCCACAGGGGAAGACAATGCAGCTACTCCTGATGAGATCTGATAGGCTAGGGTCAGATGGAAGGGGAGGAGGACCTTCCCTATCAGTGGACTAGGGAAAGGGTATGGGAAGAGAAGAGGGAGAGTGGGATTGGGAGGGAAGGAGGTAGGGGGCTACAGCTTGGATACAAAGTGAATAAATTGTAATAAATAGATAAACAGAAAAATAAGTAAGTACTAAGAAGTCGAGTGGCCTATGAACTTAACCCACATGACAGTTAGGGAAGAGGACCGCAACAGGGCAATGGCAAGCCCCTCCAGGGGAGGGAAGGAGAGGTAAGCCAGAGAGCATTTCCTGAGAACTTTAAACCCAGACACTGCATCCTGCTCTGGTTACAGTCAGCAAATCATAATTAGGAGAGAAGAAGGGATCGGTGGTGTCTTAGAGAGAAGCACCTGAAAGGCAGAAATGAAGGACAAGAATAAAAGTGCAGCGGTTCAACCAACTGTGGCTGAAGTGGCACAGCAAAGAAAAGGGGCGCGCGTTCAGGATGGGGTGTGGCCTTGCGACAGTCTTGAGAAGCAGTTTATGAAAAGGGTTATCAGCGCTAGGATATAGAGGGAAAAGTAAGCTGGGTCCTTTTGGAGTCTGCATCTTCACCGCCCTATGGGGGAGTCTGTGGGAAGCTAGGCCACTCTCGGCCAAGATGCCCCTGGCGCTGTGGTCATTCACACAACTGCAAAGGGAAGGCAGGAATGGGGGCGCATGCCTCTAGCAAGGGAACAGCAGCAAGAGGGTAAAGGCGACATCAAGCTCAGAAAGCTAATGAACAAAGCGAGGTGCTGGGCACTAACGTTTCTAAGGTCAGGAAGGCACAGGAGGGCACACAAGTGACAATAGCAGTAAAAGGCCTATGCCTGTGGAACATGCTGTGCCACACTTCGGGGTGCAATTACACACACTACCTGCTATCTAAAATCTTGTCCTTAGGCCATATGCTGGTCTCTGGA